AAAATTCCTGACCACTTCAATACCAACCTTGGAGAAGGGCTGGGTCACATCTGTCCTCCATCTGAGACCATGCAGGCTTTCGTTGTAATATAGTGTCGGCAGCCAAATGACAGATTCCAGGATCCATCGCTCTACCTTGGACAGCATGGCTCACAGCTGGGACCTTAGCATTTCCCCTGATCCCAGGAAGCTACCTGAGCTCCTTAGGGACAGATGAATGCCTTGGACCACATCATCACCAGCTATATGCGACTGGAATGCCTTCCTAAGACAGTGTAGGTTCTTGGAGCTGGGAGACTTAGGTATAACCTACTTAGTAACCACGTGTGTGGCCAAAGGTCTGACTGTGCCAACACAACTCTCACCTCAGGCAGGGGCATAACCAGGGTTAGGACAGAAAAATAAGTATCAGCTTGCCCACGGAATGTAGTGTTGGACCAGCAAAAGCTAGCTGAGGGAAACACTGTAATGCCCCCCATTGCCAAGTCCTTCTGTAGATGTGGCTACTACTGACACATGACCACAGCCTGTCAACCCCTGGGCTAGTGAGTATCAGCTGTCAGAGGGCACAGCCAGTCACAGGTCCATAGAAACTATAGGGAGGCAGCAGACATGAGGGGCCATGGTCACAGCCCTGTTTTGTTCTAGGACAGCTCAGGGTGTGACACAATCGGTTCTGTCTCCCAGGGCACAGGCCTTTGTTGGATGCCAGAGTGGTCTAAAGGCTCCCTGGGAGCTTCTGTCTGCGTGTGGGGCATTCCGTTTCCAGTGAGTGCTTCCTCTCAGGGCAGCAGGTCCCCAGACTGCCTTGTGTCAGCTTCTGCATCCTAATCCTCAGCAAGTGAAGCCTGGCTTCCATCTCTGACACCTGAGGCAAAAGACCAGAGGGCAGGGTTGGCAGCTGCCCTATGCAATGCAATTATAGTCTCGACCTCTGGGGTTAGCCAAAGCTTGGAGTCCCAGGACTCTGCCCCAGGAATTTAGTACAGTTTTGGTTTCCTAAGGTTTTTTTTAATTCATTTGCATGTGTGTGAGGCTGAGTGAAATTACACAGCCATATGTGCATGAGCGTGGGTGCTGGGAACTGAGGCTGCGTCTTCTGTGGGATCACTAAGTACCCTGACCGTGTGTCTCCGGCCCCCGCTAGGGCCTGAGTGTGAGGCTGGAGTTGGTATGAAGCGGGAGGTGCCCTTCCTGTCCTTCTACCTGGAGTGCCTTGAGCGGTAACACCCCTCCTCCGGTTCCGTCAGTGAACTCTGTCTTGTTACACTCTCACCGGATCCCTGAGCCCTTGCGACAGGTCACTGGATGCCGGGAAACAACTCAGAAGACCCTATTCATCCGCCCCCTCTCTGTCTCTGACCTTTCACCTTCCAAATGGAATGCCTATGCATGAGGTGTGGCCTCGGGCTCTGCTTTGGGTGGCACAAGTGTTAGTGATGTCGGTGACTAAGCCAGCTACTCAGCATAGGCACCGCCTCACACAGCTCCCATTGTACGGTGAGAACCCCGAACCATGGTCACCACACTGTCCAGTAAGTCTTTCCAACTCCTGTGTTTAGCCTCTACCATGTGATGGAAAATCATCCCACACCTACGCGCCAGATTCAAGTCGCCACTCTCCCGCCGCCAGTCCTGTAGCCTGCATTTGTAAATGAAGGCCTCCTCCAAGGTACAGGGAACAGACATGAACTACACTAATAGGCAGGAGGACGCAGACTGTCTCCGCCCCTACGGAAACTGAGGAACAGCTGTGCTATGTAGACAACATTCCCACGCTCATCTCCCCTGGCTCGGATTTTGTTTTGTTTGGAGATGGAGCTATGAGGAAGTCACAGTTTACAGTGTATTTTCTTTAAAGATTGAAGATCATCACTTTCATCCCTTATATGGATTGCAGTGTCTGCAATGCCCAGGTCGTCTGAACATGGAGGACTGTAGTGAGTTAGACCCATTGTCTTATGCTGGGGTCACACAGTTTATGAGCACGTGGCATGTGCTCTATGACTCTGTGGTAAACTGGCGCTGGAGGGTTTGACTACGCCGCTGAACCCCAATACTGTGATGCCGTGGCAAGAAAACAAACACATGTGACATTGTAGGCATACCCACCCACACCTTCCTCCTAGGTGTCCTTGGCTTTCCTGGGAGAGACACGGGAACACGGGAAATGCATTGTTTTATGGTCTACTGTTTTTAGCTAATGCATAAAAATATAAAAAGTATTTGTATCAATGTAGAACCAGGTAATATTTTGAAATGTACCTACCCCGTGTCCTAACCTCCTCTCTGTTGTGTGACAGATGTCCTGAGGAAAGCGATATAAGGGAGCAAGGACTAATCTGGTTTATAATTCTGGGTGGAAATCGATCATCTCAGAAAATATCAAGGCAAGCTCACAGGCAGCCAGTCACAGCCCACCCACGGTCAAGAACAGCAAGAAATGAATTCCTCACACTGCCTGTTGAGTGTCATTTAGCTTTCTCCTGTCATTTATCTCAGGACCCAGTCCTGGTCCAGGAAATGGAGCTGTGCACGACAGCCTGGATTTCCCTGCATCACTTACCAGTCAAGACTGGCCCCTACAGGCATGCCCGAGGGCCGAGCTGATCCAGGAAGTCCCCCATTCAGGCTGTTCTTGGGGTTCCAAGTGGTAGCAAGAAGACATCGAAAGCTATCACCCCAGTTAAACCAAGCTAAGCACACTTCTCTCTTTAGTTATCAAGTCCTTGTTTGTGAAAAAGGCCATGTCACTCCTTCTAGCTCTTTGAAAGGCATACTGTGTTCTTCTCATCTGTAGTCACCCTACTGCGTGCAAACACACCAAGGCTTCTGCATCCTGTGGGACTGTAAGTTAGTACCTGTCCAGCACCCTCCTCCTTGCCTTCCTTCTATCTCTCCAGTTTCTGTGACCACCAGTCCGCTCCCAGTGTCTGTGAAAGCAGCCTTTTCAGATTCCACAAGCCACATCATGGGGAATGAACCTATGTTATTCCTTGCTTGGAATTCTTTTCATTAATCATGATCTCCTCTTACATCCAGATTAGAAAATCTTTTTCATGGCTAACCAGTACCACACACATACACACACACACATGCACACACATACATACATGCATATACACACGCACACACAGACATGCACACATATGCACAAACACATGCACACGCACAGACATGCACACACATGCACAAACACATGCACACAGACGCATACAGACACGCACACACATAAGCACACAGACAAGCACGTACACACATGTACACAGAGACACGCATACATGCACACAGACATGCACACACACACATAAGCACACAGAAAAGCACGTACACATACACACGCACACACACACATGTACACAGACACACATGCACACACGCAGACATGCACACACACACACACACACACATTCTACAGATGTTAATCAGTTGAGAGAACACTTGAATACTTTCCATTTCTTTGCTCTATTCGTCATGCTAGATGATGAGGCAGGCAGTTGTATTTTATAGATATCTGTAAGAAAATTACTTTGATACATGTTCTAAATCAAATTTTTTTTTAATCAGTAAGATTTTCTACCTTTCTAGACTCCTAGAGCCTGGGATAGAGAAATGGTAGGTTTTTTGCTGGTTCTTACAGCTCCATAATGGGTCTTCATCATAACCAAAATCAAGTTCACAGAACAAAAAAGCAGCGTGCTTATCTCTGTGTGCACACTGGCTCCGAATGTGCATGTGGGCAAGCTGGAGTGATGGGAATCTTCTATAACAAACGTGGGGAAGGGGAGGGAAGAGGAGAGGAAGAAGGAAGAGAAGGAAGGAAAGGGGAAAGGGAGAGAGGGAGGGGAAGGGAAGAGGAGGAGGGCAGGCAGGAAGGAAGGGGGACTGAAGGGGAAGGAACAGAGGAAGGACAGAAGGAAGGGAGGGAGGGAGGGATGGTGGGAGGGAAAGAGGGAGGGGAGGAAGAAAAGGGGAAGGGAAATAGGAAGGACAGGAGGAAGAAACGGAAAGGGGGAAGACTATGATAGCTATAATAAGGGAAATCCCATTTCCTGCTGTGAAAATTGCTTACGCCCACTTATCACAGGAAGTAATGCTGAGAGGCCAGGAGCCCGCGGTCCTTGCAGGGGTCTTAGACCTTTGCAGTCGCCTACGAGGCGCGGTGGGTCAGTTCCTTTGCCTGCCTGGATACCCATTAGCAAAAGCCGAAGGTTAATTTTTTTTCTCTGACAAATTCTGGTGTGTGGAGCATCCTAATGCGGGGAATGAATGTCTATGTGCCCCAGAGGATGTGCCAACACCTAAAGTCAACTCTGCTCAAGCCCAACTCGGCGAGGCAATGAATGTATCAGGCCTAGGAACAGGAGCAAGGGTGAGGGTGGCTCATAGGTGTGGGCGTGGTTCCGAAATAGCTCACTTTTAAAGGCTCCACCCTGTAACAAGTCCTTCTCTGCCCTGCCAGCCAACAACATTGAGACGTAGTATTGATTACGAGAGCTCAGCCTATAGCTTAGGCGTGTCTCCCACTACTTCTTGTAGCGTATATTAACCCGTTTATATTAATGCATGTTTGCCTTATGGCTTTTTAACCTCCCTTTCACCTTGTACCCCTGTTTCCTCTCCATGCCCTCTGGTGTCCCTCATACGCCTCTCCAATCCCTCTTCCAGAAGTACCACCTACATCCCCTGCCTAGCTATTGGCTGTTCAGGTTTTCCGGAACCAACCATGGGGACAAATCTTCGCACAGTGTAATCAGACACCTTACAACGCCACCACATCACCATGACAGCTCTACAGGAGCTACACGGATGAGGTTCTACTTTAGTCCAACTTGTACCTCCTCTGTCTTCCGGCATCTTCCAAGGTCCTCCGGAGCTTGGGAAAGAATGGTTGGGCTCCTAGGTATCATTCCTATGACCCCTCCCTCCCTCCCACTAGGAAATGTCAAAGCCCCCCTCACCCGTCACTCAAGGCCAGATCATCACCGCATCAGCATCACTCAAGGCCCGGTCATCACCACATCTGATTGGCCAGTAGGCAAGCCTGTGCGGCATTTTCCTGACTTATGATTGGCATGGGTGGTGCCATCCTTGGGCTGATGGTCCTAGGAGATAGAAGAAAGCCAACTCGCCAGCTATGGGGAGCAACCCAGAAAACAGCACTCCTCCATGGCCCATTTCACTTCCCGACTCCAGGTCCCTGCCTTGGGCTCCTGCCCTGACTCCCCATCATGGCGGGCTGGGGTCAGGACACATAAGCCAAAGGAACCCTTTTCTTCCCAACTCACTTTTGGTCATAGTGTCGTATCAACGCAATAGGAGCACTGAGACACTTGGCAAGGACAAATGTGGTCCAAATGGTGAAAGGGTGTCCAGCTGCCTCGGGCTTAGACTGAGAAACTGTCTCTTCGTGCACACTCTCTTAAATCAGGCAAGACGAAGACGGGGGATAAGAAAAGAGGGAGACAGCACAGTGCACTCTGGGTTCCCAGCTTCTGTGGGCTCACTGCTAATTCTTGGTGACACACCTGTCTTTGAGACATTTCTGCTTCGGTAAGTAACCCCAGTGAAACTTCCTGGTTCATCAAGTCGAATTTGGGAGGGATCCTTACTTTGGGTCGCCACTGGCTCTCTGTCTGAGGCACTCAGATGTTTGTTCATGTCTCCCCAGTGTCCCGCAGCAGCATCGCAGTGTAACAATGGCCGCTTTGATAGTACATGCGGCATGGAATGACCTGTGTGCAAGTAGCATAGATAGTGTGGACAAAGGATGGATCCCGTCTAAGAAATGAACTCACGCGAAGTCTTCATCGCGCTACTTAGAACTTACAACTTGGGGCTGGAAAGGTGGCCCCTGGTTACGGTTGCTCTTCCAGAGGACCCAGGTTCAATTCCCAGGACCCACATGGCAGCTCACAACCATCTGTAACTGTGGTGCCAGACCCCATCTGATGCCCCTCTTCTGGTCACTGCAGGCACCAGGCACACACTTACAGGCAGAACAACAAGTGAATGAAATAAAAATAAGTAAATCTTTAAAAACAAATGTAATTCAGAAACTGCGTGTGTCGGAGAAGTTTCATTTAATATTTGCAGACCACCACTGACCACAGATGGAGGGGTGTTAGTGACCGAGAAAAAACATCGAGGGAGGGTTTTTTTGTTTTGTTTTGTTTTTTTGGCTCACTGTATGAGAGATCTCAGTCCATGGTGCCAGCTCGATGATGAGGCAGTGTCTCGGGGTGGCACATGCACAGGGTAAGACTGTTCATCTCATGGCAGACAGGAAGTCGAGACCAGGCTGGTTATACTTGCAATGACCCTATTTTTTCCTACTAGACTCCCCCAAAGGCACAGAACCTCACCCATCATTCCCTGAAGCACCCAGAATCTTCCCCAAATGACACCAGCACTGGATATAAAGAACACGTTACATTCAGACTACAAGGGATGTCAATGCGCTGGTTCTTTGATCTTCTGGACAACCCTGCATTAAGGGCATGACTCAGGAGAGTATTTTATCCCAGGGGCCATCAACTCCTCCCTTCCTGTTCCCCATCCTTGCCCCGATCAGGATGAAGCTCTTGGGTCTGTCCCATGACCCTTGCCTACCTTGCCAAGAAGCCTTCTTGTCCCAGCACTTACTGCCACCTCTCCACCTAGGAGGGCAAGGCTCTGTCATGGCTGAAATACTAGGTGGCCTCCCACTGGCCTCTCTGCGGTCTCACTGAAGACTCACAATGCAAAAGCAAGAGTAGTCCTTTTCAAACGCAGTCAGAAGGCACCTGTCCTCTGCTCAGACCGCCTTGCAGCTCCCGCTTTGTTGACAGTCAAGCTCTCCTCAGGCGCCGTGAGGACCACACTGTCTGTCGGTCCTATGGCACCCCTTCCGTCCCCTTCCCACGCCTCCCCTCCACCCCTACCCATGCCGTAGCCATGGGCTTCTATCCAGACCCTTACCTGCTGCTGGAGCACAGGGTCCACAGAGGCAGGGGACTGGTTCTCCGTCCCTGCGGCTCCCACGGGCCTGAAACAACACACCGCACACACTTAGCACTGAACACGTAGTTGTCGAACAAAAGCTCCAAACTTGTGACCATAAAGAGAACTCGGCATGCCTTCTCGCCAGTAGAATTAAGCTTCGATTGAACTTGTCTGTGTCAGCCGCAAGCAGGATGTCCATCCAACTCCCCCAGGACCCGGGAATAAGACAGAAGAGAGGACAAAGGATGCAAGAATCGGAAGATGGGTGTCTTACAGTTTCAATTGCCGTGAAGAGACACCGTGACCGCAGCAACACTTGCAAAGTAAAACATGTCATTGGGGCTGGTTTATTTTCAGAGGCTTAGTCATCACATAGAGGCATGCAGGTAGACATGATGCTGGGGAGGAGCTGAGAGCCCTGCATCTTCGTTTGCAGGAAACAGGAAGTGGTCTGTCTCCCTGGGCGTGGCTTAAGCAAACAGGAGTCCTCAAAGCCTGCCTCCACCGTGACACACCTCCTCCAATGAGGCCACACCTCCTCCAACGAGGCCACACCTCTTCCAACGAGGCCACACCCACTCCAACGAGGCCACACCTCCTCCAACGAGGCCACACCTCCTAATAGTGCCACTCCCTCTGGGGGACATTTTCTTTCAAACCCCCACAATTGGGAAGAATGCTGAGAGATACCACCTTGTCAATGCGACATGGCTGTTGGGATACTGGAGACATACACTGCAGCTACCGCTACCTGCACAGGACATACACAGAGAGAGACAGACAAGAGGCTGGCTCGGTTTTTAAGAACACGTACTATTCCCCCAGAGGACCAGGGTTTGGTTCCCTGCACCATGTGGGATGACACACAACCATAAGTAACCAGACCCAAAGGACCCAATGCCCTCCTCTGGCCACTGCAGCTCATGCACACATGTGCACATATGCTACACACACACACACACACACACACACACACACACACACAGAAATAAAGTATGTTTAAAGATGCCGAAGAGTTCTTTTGAGTCAGTGGATGCTGTCATCAGATTAAATGTGGCTTCTAACTCTGCATATCAGAGAAAATGTTTGTTTATGAAACATATACAAATTTCCTTTTGAAATGTTTTGTGATTTAGTCATTGGATCAGAGATTTCTGGATGAATCGGGAATCTCTACATACACATCAGAAATGGTGACAAGGAAATGTATGCACACATTGAGCCATGAGGTATACGATAAAACAAAGAAAGCAGAATATTTTAAAAATAGCCAGACTGGGCATGGTAGCACATGCCATGAGTCACGGCACTTTGGAGGCCAAGGCATGTGGCTCTCTGAGGAGTGAGTTCCAGGACAGCCAGGGCTGAAAAGAAAGAAAGGAGAGAGGGAGGGAGAGAGGGAGGGAGGGAGAGAAGGAGGGGGAAGGAGGGAGGGAGTAGTCCAGCGTAGGTAGGCCAAACCATCACAAGATCATGACTTCAAGGCCCCAGCTACATAGTGATTTTATTATCAGGTCCTCAAGACACACTAACAGAAGGACAAATTGCTTTTCTGACTTTGATTTGAAAAAAAAAATATGATGCATTGAAGTCTCATAAAAATTCTAAACTGATTATGGAAAATTTATAAGGGTTTTGCCTGGTGTCTCTTGGACTTAAAAACAGACACATTTCCCCTTCCCTCACATCACTAAAAGTCAAATACATATTCTCAGAAGGCGTCTCAAGTCCCTCCTGCCTCCCCGGAACCAAGAGGAAGAAGCCTGGCACCGCTCACTGCTCGTCTTCCCGGGGAGAAGGAACTCCAAGGGAGAGTCCCGGCCTAGACCGTCCCCTCTCACCTCTGCAGCTGTCCCCTTATCCCCACCACAGGATCCAATACGGTGGACAGCACGTCCTCAGTCAGAGCGTGGCTTGCTCTCTCACAAGGAGCAAGAGGGTCCATTCCCCACAGAGCCTGGCAAAGATGTCTGCAATCCATGCCGGAAGGAAGCCACCTGAGACCTGACTGATACCCACACCCTGCTTTTGGCCATGACCATGCCTCCAGTCAATGGAGTGAGTCCCATTCGGGTTAGACACTTACTCCCCTCCGGAACAAAGGAGGTATTCTGGAATGTTCCTCAGGTAAAGCGGGATAGACCCAAACACAGCAGGCCACACTATCCCCATCTCTCCTCTTTCAGTCTCTCCTCCTCCCCCCCCCCACACACACAGCTTCTCTCCCCTCTCTCTGTCTCTCCTCCCCCCACACACACACAGCTTCTCTCCCCTCTCTCTGTCTCTCCACCCTCCTTTTTACTTCTTTTAAAGACAGACTCTCATGTAGTCCAGGCTGGCCCTGAACTTTTGACCCTCCTGCTAAGATCCTTCCACGTGTTAGAAAAAAAAATCAGCGTGCACTGAGACACCTAGAAAAATCTGGTAATAAAAGGGCACCCACAATTTGCACCTTTCTACCTTTGCCCATTTGCTTTAAAGGACGCAAAGGCAGGAGGTTGGCATCTAGGATGTAAAAGGAGGCAGGACTTACCCGGGCCCCTCAGTTAATGCTTGGGTGGTTTGTGAGTTAAGCTGGAGTAAGCTGCAACCCCATACTGAAAATGTTTGATGCAGTTTGCTTCCTGTGGTAGAAGAAAAAAAAATCTTCACTTAAAAAAAAAAGAAAGTTTCCCTGGCCTAACTTTTGAAAGTAAAATGAGTAATTCTGAACACAATTACACTTCAGCTCAGTTTAAAGATACTCTTTTTATAATCGGTTTAACATTTTGAGTGATGGTGTGACATCTTTAAGAGAAGTATTTGTTTGAGTGTTGTTTGCCACCATCAGAAGAAATCCCAACTTTCTGCAAACGAGGCCCGCACGGCACTCCGCTCCGATCCTCTGTTAGTCCCTGCGGCTTTCTCTGCTCTCTGCCCATAACATATGGGATTTTATACAGTAAAGCAAAGCTGTGTTTGTTAAAAATAAAAATAAAAGTCTGCCGATTTTAGGTTCTAGTTTTTATTCCGTGTACGCAGCGCCCTGTTAGGAAAAGAAAAGTTACAGATCCTTCTACGCTGCCCCAGAGTCACAGTGCAGAAGCCTCTGTGTGGAGGGAGGCGTGTTAATGAGAATCCGGCTACTGTTTACACGGCCGCGAACATCAGAAGGCAATATGCCGTGTTTACATTTAGCTGAACTATTTATAGAGGGTACGCGCTACAGCGAAGCCCTCTTCCCCCCTCATAATGGATATCTTTGTGCCTGGATTCTTGTACAGACGCAGCTGACATCTTTATCCCTCCTGAGCCCGTGATTTTGTTCTCTGTGGCTCGCTGTATCAGAGCAGCATCTTCTGGAGAGACAGAGACATGGAAAATCTGTAGGAACAGAGTGACACCCCACCACCAGCTAGAAAGGCAGACATGGGGAGCTGGAGGGCCAGTCCAGTCCCTTGAATCAGTGAGGGGAGCCTTTTCCTCTGTCCCCTGTGGACCGTGGAAGGTGCTCAGTGTTGAGTGGGTTTCTTTCTCTACAGTGGTGGCTGATACCTGTATCTCTAGTTCGTCTCTGTCTTCACTAACTAGCATCTTCTTGTAACGAGGGTGGCACCGGTGACTGAACTGGGGGGGGGGTCCTCTGAGAGTCATGGGCATGAGTTTCAAATGCAGCTGGCTTCCTTCAGGCCAATCTCAGCCAATCTGTGCCCCAATGCCCACCAGCCCTGCCACACCCAGCTCCTTAGCCCGCACCATCAGGCTCCAGGTTCAGACAGAGACCCTGCGTCAAAAACTAAAGTGGAGAGCAATAGAAGAAGACACCAATGTCAACCTCCAGCTCCCACATGTGAACGTGTCGGTCTCTCTCTTTCCCTTCACAGATATACATACATAAATACATATATACATACATATCTTCTATGCACTACTAATATCCAGTTTGGGATATTTTGACCAGGACCTGAACTTGTAGTAGAGTTCTCTCACTTGCTATGACAGGGCACAGGACAGACTCAGGACACAGGACAGACTCAGGACACAGGACAGACTCAGGACACAGGACAGACTCAGGACACAGGACAGACTCAGGACACAGGACAGACTCAGGACACAGGACAGACTTAGGACACAGCACCCTGAGCTGGAGAGATGGCTCTCTGGTTAAGAACAAGTACTGCTCTTGTAGAAGACTAGAGTTCAGCTCCCAGCACCCACATGGTAGCCCACAACTTCCTCTACCTCCAGCTCTAGTGACCCAGCAACATCATCTGGTCTCTGCAAACACTACACTGCCATGCACACAGGCACACACACACACACACACACACACACATACACACACAGTTTTTAAATAAAATGAGTACATGAAATGTTCTTTGTTGTGGGATATTTGTATACTGTGTGAAGATGTGTCATTGTGATTTATTTAATATAATGGTGAATGGTCAATAGCTAGACAGGAGAGGTTAGGCAGGACTTCCAGGCAGAGAGAGGAACTCAGGATGAATCTAGGTGCGCAGCATTAGCCCATGAGACGGACATGGGGGGGGGAGAAGTAAAGAGCCACTTGGCAGAACGTAGATTAATAGAAATTTAAGTTAGCCCATTTAATTAAGGCTAGTGGAACAAACCTAAGCTAAAGCCAAGCTTTCGATAATTAATAGTAAGTCTTCGTGTCGTTATCTGGAGGCTGACAGTCCAAAGAAAGTCCAACAGGAAAGATCTGCTTCGATTCCTTCTGAAGAGGAAGTGAGCAAAGGTGGCCACGAGGCCGGTGCTTACATCTGCGGGTTCCCCTCTCCCTGGCCGCCTTTCCCTCTGTTTTGCTGAGTGCCAGAATGGTAAGGTGCTATACTACACACAGCAAACATGAGCCATCAGCAACCTGTTCTACTAAACTCAACAGAGAAGTGAGTATGCGCATACGGTTAGAAATGTGCGGTACACAGGTCATGCCCTCAAATGGCAAATGTGAAACTCCTAGACACAAATCCTAGAACATCATCAAAGCTGCGTGGGGGGTGGGGGGCTGCACTCTTTAATCCCAGCATCCTGGAGGCA